AGTTATTGAATAAAAACCTCAGCTTTTAAGTATTGAAAATTACAAATTTACAATTTCTGTAAATTTATCTGGTTATGCATTTCCCTAAAGACAGATAAATTTATTTAGAAATTATGTAGAGACGCAGTATATAATATTGAGTGAGGAGATAGCTTGCTATAGGGTAAGTTTTTTTCTAAATGAATTTTTTTTATCTCCATACCCAATATAGAACATTTTATCCAAAGATGAAAACAAAGTCTAAATTGCTGTAGTAACGTACATGTTAAAATCCATGTTGATCATGCATGTGTTTTGAAAACAATAGGTCAGATCTCATATGCCACCAGTTTCACCAAAGATAATTCTAGGTTGCTAACAATAGAAACATCAATATGAAAAATGAAAACAGTAGAGACATTACATTTGAATTAAAATTGACCATAGATAGAGAAGAAGGGAAGAGACAGAGTCTTGTCTGATCCATTAGCTACTTCCTGAATGATAGGCCCGCATTGGGACTCCAGGCCAGTTAGCAAAGCCGTGTCTTCAGGCCCTTTCAGAGGACAGAAGGGTGGATGTGGATCTCACCTTGGAAGGCACAATGTTCCTGAGGTGAGAGCTCTGGCAGAAATGACTTTCCTGGACCTTGCCAGAATTCCTTAGAATTCTTTGACCAATGGGGTCTGCTGCAAGGTCCTTTTGCCAGCATGGGCAGGGTGGGCTAGTCCCATCAGGGTGAGATAGTTCTTCAGATAACTTGGACCATGCCATGAAGGGCTTTAAATATGATAACCAGCACCTTGAATTGAAGTTTGAAGCAAAGTGGCAATCTACTGTCTTTATGAAATGTTGATTATAATATATTTACACTATATTGGTTGAATGTATAAGGAAGTGCCTTCCCAAATTGATTCACACAGATCAGACAGGCTATTTTTAAAAGAGGCAGATGATGTATTGTAGAAGTATTTTAAATGCATTAGAATATATCAATACTAAGAAAAAGAAGGCATGAAAAAGTTTTTTGAAAATTTGAAAAGTTTATTTTTACTGGAGGTTTTAAACAAAATGAAATCTGGAGACATTAACAGCAAACAGCAAAGACTGTATTAAATAGAATATTTTCTGCAAGTTTCTCAATATGCAAAAATATAAGGCACGGATGTCTGTTTTCTCACTTACTCTTTGTAATCCCTTTGACAGTTCTAGCAAACAAGTTGTGAAAAGACAAATAAATAGATCAAAATTCAAGGAGAAGAATATAAGATAAAGTATTATGCAAATGATATTGTGTTAACAATTAGGCAACTATAAAATTCTATATGGCAGCTGATACAAACAATTAAAGACTTTGCTTGCTTTTTTGAATACAAAATAAAAACTTAGATAATAGCAAAAGACTTAAGCTTTTATAAAGTATTTTTTTCTGAAAAGGCAGGCCATTGTAAGATAATAGACTCAGAGGAATACCTAGAGTTCCATCTAATAGGAAGCAATAAAGATATAGTTCAAAACAATAATAACAAACTAGATAATCTCTGATCATTTGGATTCTCTTTTCAGAGATATTTCCTTACCAGATTCCTCAATGCCTTCAACAACGAGAGACCTTCTACAAATTTATATTGCCTTCACTGGAAAAATTGGGATACATTCAGAGACGAATCTCCCTCGAAAATAGGCCACATATAGGACAGTTAAACATCAGCGCAGGAAATGTTTTATGACATTTTGTATGATAAAAATATATTTTTTGTAAAATATTTCATAAAATTTGCCAAATTTTAATTCCACTGGAGTCTTGGGTCTCAGATTTTGTACACATTCTCTAAGTTAGCTCATTTGAGGTACCTGGGTTCAAAAATTGTTGCCTTATGATCACCATTTTGCCCAGCTAAAATGTTACAGTAAAGAACATTTTACTAGTATATAGATTATGGAAAGAAATAAAATGAGATCTTGAAGAGTGGGAGAAGTCAGAAAAGGATTTATTGCAACAATAGAAATGAATTTTATGCAAAATGAACTTTGTACTTCAAATGATGCTGATTTGAATTTCAGACAAAAATCTGCCAGATTCACAAAACAGTTAACAGATTTAAAATAAGATTTTAAAAAATAAGGTTTTAAAATTCTACAGGGTTCAAAATAAAGAGGTAAATTAACATTCTCCAAGTTAAGACTGTACAGAGAGTAAGCTTCCTGTTACAGATAACAGAATAGATAAAATCTTTGAACAGTAGAATATTAGTGATAAAAGGAGGCCCAGTGCTCTTCAACATCTTCATCAACGATTTGCACGAGGGGATAGATGGGGAACTCATCAAATTTGCGGATGACACCAAGCTGGCAGGAATAGCCAACACTCCAGAAGACAGGCTTAAGATACAGGAGGACCTGGACAGACTTGAACACTGGGCGCTATCTAACAAAATGAAATTCAATGGTGAAAAAAGTAAGGTTCTACATTTAGGCAAGAAAAACCAAATGTACAGGTA